CTTCTCCATTTATTTAATTTTATTATTTATATCAATATGAATTTTATCTTATGGGCCATAAATACTATCATTATTTTCTTGTTCAAATTGTCCTCCATTTTGCCATTGGTAAATTCTAAAAGTTGCCTCCTATATTCTCTTAACATTTCTCCATCATTTTTTGAGCACCTCCTTCCTTTTTGGCACAAGATGTTCCCAATTAAAGAAGACAGTTTTGTTTTTGTTTTTGAGAATGAGCTTTAGAAATGCTATAAGCACCACCATCATGTAAGTGCTGCCACCATCAATGTTATCAACTTCAGCAGGCTCTTCTTTCTCCCTCCAATTCCAACCTTGAGCTAGGACCTCAGCCCTTCCTTTAATTTCCAAAACCAACTAAATCCTTACTGACACATTTAATAAAGTTTTACCAGTTTGGGGGCTACAAAAATATTGTACATTATCATGTCCAGTACTCATGAAATTTCCTGGGTAGTTGCTTCTCTGCCTACCCTTTGGCTTGCCTCTTGCTTAGCAGAGAGCATCTTTCCTCTTAGTACTAAGAGTGCCCTAGGGTATAATGCAGTGATTTACAACCTTAGCCACACATTGAAATCACAACTACTGGTTCCATCACCAGAGATTTTGATTTGATCATGCAGAGGTGACCTGAGCATAAGCTACTGTGGTTCTCAACCCTATTTATATATTAGAATCACATAGGGAGCTTTAAAAAAAAAAAAGTCGATGTCCAACTACTATGTTAAAGGTTGAAACTTTAAAGGAATGGATCAAGCTGACAACACCCCAAACCTATCCATTTTACCATTGACCAAGTGAGACCATTGCCTTCTGATTTGAAGTAGTAAGAAGTACGTAGCTATCCCTAGAAAGTAGTCCTGAACCACAGCCCAGAACCTGAATTTCAACAAGCCTCAGGATCTCATGCCAGTGTTCAGGACATTTGGAGGACAGAGGACATGCTAAATGCTCAGTGATCCTGGACCCCTGTAGCATCAGTATTACCTGAAGGCTTGATAGAGATGCACTTTCTCAGGCCCCATCACAGGCTTACCAAGTCAGGATCTACAGTTTAACAAACTCACTAGGTGATTTGTGTGCACAATCAAGCTTGAGAAACACCACTGTTAATGCCACAAGACTATAATCAGCCAAGTCCAGAGAATGTGGAAGATAGCATAGAATAAATGACTCAGTTTCTTCAATGAAATTTTTTATTTTAAGAAATTTGTATTTAAGAAAATTTAAGAAACAACCAGGTGTGGAATCTCAAACCTGTAATCCAAGCTACATGGGAGGCAAGATCGGGAGGATCACAGTTCAAGGCCAACTGTAGCAAAAAGTGCACAAGACCCCCATCTCAACCAATGACTGTGCATGTGGCATGCCCCTGTCATCCCAGCTGTGTAGGAAAGCACAAATAGAAGGTCCTGGCCATCCCAGGCATAAAGTGAGAAACTATCTCAAAAATAATTAATGCAAAAAGGGCTGGATGCATGGCTCAAGTGGTAGAGTGCCTAACTAGCAAGTGCAAGATCCTGAGTTTAACCTCCAATACTACAAAAAACAAACAAATGAAAAACCCAACCAAAATGGCTCAAGTGGTAGAGTTCCTGCCTAGCAAGTGTGAGGCCCTAAATTCAAACCCCACCACTGCCAAAAACAAAAACAAAAAACAAAACAACAAAAACCCTGCCCCTGAGTAGAATTCAACCCATTGTAAAAAGATATTTTTGAGACAGCTGGGAAAATTTGAATATGGACCAGTAAAAGATGGTATTAAGGGGCTGTTATTTGCATAGGGTGTGATGATTATTATTTCTTAAAAAATAGACATATTGTTAAAACACATAAAAGGCTGGATGTGGTCGTGCAGACATGTAATCCCAGTACTTAAGAGACTAACACAGAAGGATCGTGAGTTCTAGGTCAGCCTGGGCTATATAGCGAGATACTCTCTCAACAAACCAAAAGAAAATAATTATTAAAAAATCCAAAAGAACCAAAATGAAACCTGTATTTACTAATGTTTAAAAAAAAATAGAAAAGCATACCTGGTTCCATCCCGGGTTTGGATGAAAGATGAGCACTGATAGTTTAAAAAACAGAACAAAAAACTCACCAAACAAAAAACTCACATCAGAATACTACTTATAACCTGAATACAACAAATATGCAGATATACTCATTTTTAAATAAAGATTCCCATCCCAAATCAGAAGAGATGGCACAAATGAGGGATGCAAGAACCCCTTGTACACATCCATTCCAGCATCCAACCCAATGTGTAGTAATTTGATTGGTTTCCTCCAGTAGACCACAAGCCCCTGGGAACCAAATAGTGCCTGAAGCAGAGTGTACCACCTTAAGCATTTATTTGGGGGAAACCACTTGAAGGAGGGACTAGTAACCCAGAAACCTACAAGAAAAATCAGTGTAGGATTTTCCCTGGACAGGCCCAGTTTTACTACTGCAAGTCCTGCATCCTAGGGTTGGTCATCATTCATCAGTATCCCTGTCCTGGGTGGCTTAGGTGTCTGTGTTCTCCCCTGGAGTTGGCCTAAATTCACAGATTCTCTGAAACACAAGAGATAAGAAGCAAGCTGTGTCCTGCCTTCAGGCTTCTTCAGCAAATGGTTTTCTTTACATTTCCTCCCCTGGCAGCACTGAAAGTCCTCTCAGATGCCTAGAGAGAGAAGGAATGTGCTGGATGTTACATGCCAGGATATGGCAGAGCTGAAAAGATGTTCTGCTTTCTGCCCTGGGGCTCTTTTTTACCTGCACTGGCTGAGTCTCTTAAAAGAGAAGCTTTGAATCTGGACCCATAGTTCTAGGCATAGAAATTCAGCTTCCTTCTCATACCATTATGTCATGGCCCATGGAGAAACACCCTTTCACTCTATGACTTTAAAATAGACAAACTGGTATGCAAGCTGGGCCTATGCTCCCTTTATTCCAGTAGTCTAGAATCTAAGCTTTTGGAGGGTTTCTGCATTGATTCATGGAACTGGATGGAACACATAATAGATCTTTTCTGTTTATTCCTTTTTTAGGGAGAAGTGTACAGCTGTGTTTTAAGCAGCCTGACATGCAAAATGAAGACAGCATACTTTCACATTGCATAAAGTTTTCTGGGATTTTTTTCCTTCTGTACTGGAGACTGAACTCAGGGCTGCAAGCTTATGTTCTATCACTTAAGCAATGTCCCCAGTCTTTTTGCTTTGTTTTTCAGATAGGGTCTTGTGTTAACTTTGCCAGAACTAGTCTTTAACTTCAATCCTCCTAGTTCCTGCTCCTGGTTCATTTTTGGGATTTTGACTAAAAGTTGACTCTGGTAGGTCCTGATTCCATTTGCTTCAGAACTTCAAGAAGTCACAAGAAGCCTAAAGGCAAGCATGTGTTCAGTGGAAGCAGTAACACGTATAAACTGATTTATTGAGTGATTTGTGTGTTAACTTTTGCATACTTTTCAAACACCAGGTAAAATGGGAATTATTGCCCTGATTTTACTGTTAAGGATCTAAGGCTTAGTAACTGGGATTCAGCAAGTTTTGCAAGCCCACACAACATGTAAGCAACCTTGTTCGGATTTGAAGGAAAGGTTGCTTGTGAACTGGTTTGGGAGAGGCCTACATATGCTGACTGCCTCCACTCTCATCTCTATTGTAAGAGGGCCCTGTGGACTTGAAGGAGTCAGGGTGGCAAAAGCAACCCCAGGTCATCCTTTTTAGCTTTTGAGTCCCTGTAGCAGGTATCAGTTGGTTAAGGAATTTGACATATGGGACAATCTGATGTCTACAGAATGGAACACAGCTGGTGCATAGGTACAGGTCCCCAGGAAGTAGGGCTAGACAGCTGTTTGTCACTATGACAAATACCTGGTAGAAACAATTTATTGAAAAGATTGATTTCTGGCTCATGGTTTCAGAGGGTTTAGTCTGTGGTCAGTGGGCTCCATTGTTTCTGGGCCCCATCAAAGGATTAATTCATTGCTTAGGTCAGACTCCTCATAAGCAAATCACTCCAATGACTGGATCCACCAGCTAGGAATCAAACTTTCAACACCCGAGCCTTTTGGGGAGGTATTTCATATCCAAACCACAAGGAAGAAGCAAGGATTCAAAGAAGGAGATATTGGAGGATGGGTCTGTCTGACCACAGCATCACAGGTAGGATCACAGGAATGGAACCTGTGCAGCAGGGGAAGGTCAGCTCCCCATGCTGTAATTGATTCCCCTCATTCTCCAGTGGGAATCCCAAGATAGGGGCTAAAAGTGAGGGGGAACAGGTCAGCCCCAAAAGACTCTTTCCCAAAGACTCTTTCCTTGAGAAAGTAGGTAGGTTAGTTCATTCTGGGCTTCCAGGGACTGCCTTCCTGATCACACCACAAAGAAATGCTCTGTTACTGAATGTTTCACATCTGTACACCAAGCAGGGAAAAGACTCATGCTTGCCAGGTCTGTCCTTTTGCATCAAGATCCAGCAACTTTATTAAGCAGGCTTCCACCTGCATCTCTTAACTCTCCAGAGTGGAGTCATATGACCATCTTTAGCTGGGAGGTATTTATAATAAGGCACATTACCATCTCCTTTACCCAAAGTGGGGTTCTGCTAATGAGGAAGCTACAATAAGGGGTCTCATGGTTTTGGGGGTTTTTGTTTTTGGCAGTACTGGGTTTTGAAGTCAGGGCCTCACCCCTCCCCCCCAGCTTTTTTTTTTTTTTTTTGTATGTGTTGGGTATTTTTGAGATAGGGTCTTGCAAAGTATTTGCTAGGGCTGGCTTTGAACTGCTATCCTCCTGATCTCTGCCTCCTGAGTAGCTAGGATTACAGTTGTAAGCCACTGGCAGATGGCTGGGGGGATCTGTTTAATTACAAAATTCTCTGAAGTTATTAATATCAGGTTCTTAAATTTACTCATCTGTAAAAATGCTTACAATGAAATGTCAAGTAAGAAGCAAGACAGAGAACATATATAATATAATGTCAATTTTGCTTAAAATTTTAATTTACAGCTGGGCCCTGAGTTTAAACCCCAGCACCACACACACACACAAAAAAATTACATATATACCCACACACAGGAAACAACAAAATGTTAATAGTAGTTAACTTCTACAGAGTGAGCATTTCTATCAGAAAGGTCCTGATGGATAGACATCATTCTTATTAAAATTTTTCCTGTATTTTCTAAATATTATATAATGAATTTGTAGTATAAAGAAAGAATGTTATTTTTAAAAACACAGGAAAAACGTTATTTTAAAAAATACTTCATATACTTTCTTTGGAGACTAAGTCCAAAATGTTACACTTACTCATTTTCATCTTCATTGCCAAAAGAAAGAAGGCTACTGTTTTTTATTTGCTTTTGCAAGTTCTTTTTAACTGAGTCCTGCTTATTTACTTCATCTTCATTTGCTTTCTTCTTTTTTGAACTTGCCATTAAACCTGAATATTTTTCATCTGAGGGGCGCTTAACTGGTTTTCTGTACATGATTCTCCCATCAGCTGGAGCTGGTTCTTCATCTGTAATAAAAACAAAGTTAAAGAATTTTCCCCTCCTCATTATTTTGCCATTACAAGAGAGTTAAATATCAAGAAAATCTATTATATTTAAAGATGTCCTTGAGTAAATCCAGTACGGTCTTCTCTACAGATTTTAGCTGTATACCTCATGAGATATGCAGTCACTGGATAAAAGCTTGTTGAAGGGCTGGGGCATAACTCAAGGGATAGTACACTTGGTTAGAAGCACAAGGCCCTGGGTTCAATCCCCAGTACTGGGGAAAAAAAAAAAAAAAAAAAAAAACCCACCACCCCCACCTCACTGAAGCATTCCATAATACTGTTTGTCCCCAGTTAACTACAACCGGGTTGTATTTAGCGGAGGAAGGAGAAGGGGAGCAGTGGTGGGGCTCAAATCCAGTTTCTCAAGCATGTTAGGCAAGTGCTGTACCACTAAGCTGCCACCCCCATCCCCGCATCAAGTTACATTGTTTTATATTTTAAAAAGTGTTTGGAACTACAGCATATTCCCTAACACAATGTAATGCATGTTTAGGCATAATAAAAATACATAGCATACCACACTTCAGGCACTAATTACATAGGCTTTTGTTGACTGGTTTGTAAATCTAACCGCCTGTTTTTTAAAATAATTTTACTTAAACTTGCAGTTAATCCTCAAACAAAACAATACAGTAGTTAGTCTCATTGTCTCCATTTTACTGATAAGGACACTGAGGCTCAGAGGTGAAATAACTTGCTAAAAAGTTCCACTTCTGGTGTCAAAACCAAGGTCTGAACCAAGGACAAGCTCCTTCAAATAATCCATACTACTATATGAGATATACTCCTTAAATTGTTAGAAAAAAACAGATTACTTTCAGACATACCTGCTTTGGCAGCCTTTATTTCTGCTTTAATTTTCATGACTTCTTCAGCTGTCAGGTCACCCTTTTTTAAAACTACTACTTGGGGCTGTTCATCTTCTTTGTCACTGTGATCACCGTCTTCATCTGGGAGCTGAGACTGGATTCTCTAGAGAAAATGCAAACACTTGGTGTAGGTTGTTGACTTGAACCAAATATAACTACTGCCTCAGTGAGCAACTGTAATTATTAAAGTAAGAATAGTAACTTTAACTCCAAAGAGCCTAATCTTGCCACATCAGGAAATGTGGTCTACCTGCCAGGGATCCTGGGGTCCCTGTCCAGTGGGATTCATTTCTATCTTAGCAGATCCCCAATATGCAGTTAGTTGTGTCAAAGGCCCTCTGCTTTGGTAATGCTATTATTCCTAGCCCACTTAGCACAGAGCCAAATGACGTCGATTCCCTTTGCTCCTACAATACTCCATGTATTCTCAGAGTTGAACAAAACATAAACATCATCAAAATACTGAAAGCAGCATGTAGAAAACTTTTTGTTGGTGGTGGTACTAGGAGTTGAGCTCAAGGCCTCACACTTGCAAAGCAGGCACTCTACTATTTGAGCCTCCAGTAGTCACTGGAGTCACTTTTGACTCCAGTCATTTTTGTACTGGTCATTTTTGGAGATGGGGTCTTGTGAACTATTTGCCTCGGCTGGCCTTGAACCCCAGTTCTCCCAAAGAAGCTAAGATTATAGGCGTGAGCCACCAGTGTCCAACCAAGTAAAACATTTTTTCCCATCTCTACTCACCCCTATCCCGTCTAACAACTTCAGTTCAGTGAAGCTGTTTTCCAATGACAAATGTGTAGTCATTAAAGATTTTGTATGCAAACAATACTGCATATTTTTCTGTGACTTGTCATGTACTCACATTACATCTGTAACAAATGTAGCATTTTGCCAGTTGATTCATATTTTCGAACACTGCCAAATACAATAAAGCTGCACCCTAAAATTTACATTTATTCATTTATTTATTTTTGGGACTGGGACTGAAACACAGGGTCTCCTGTTTGCTAGGAAAGTGCTTTACCCCTTGAACCACATTCCCAGACCTTTTGCTATTTTGTTTTTGAGATAGGGTATCCCTAACTTTATCCAGGCTGGCCTCAAACTCTAGATCCCAATTAAAAAACACTTGAGAAGATGACTATTTTGATCACAAAAGGGTTTGCAAAGAAAATTATTTACCTCAAGGAATGATACCTATCCTAAAGGAAGCATCTGACAGATCCATCCTTTGTTTAAAGGATGCTTAAGCATCTATGTCATTATGTCCCAAAATTTAGTAAACAGACCAATCTTAAAATCTCTGGGGTCAACTGCTGGTAAGACGGTGTAACAGCAAGAATGATAGAATACACCAGGTGTCCAGAACAAAGGGGAGCATGCATCCCAGGGCAAATTAAGGTCAAATCCTCTACCCTACCTTTTTTATCATAAGTACCCTTGATATCAAGACAGCTCAGTGTGTCTCCCTTGGGACACCCACACTCTGATAGAGTGTGTCTTTGCTTTCTGCTTGCTTGTTCAAAAAAGCTCTGCTAAATTGTCTTACCATTGTGACAATTAAGGACCTTGGGCAAAAACCTGCAAAGAGGCTCCCTAACTTTAAAAAGGTTGTTCACAAACCTCACCAGCCACCGGTGTCAGACCCAATGTCACCCCCGTTTCTTTCGTACACTATGCATAGCTCATAGGTAGCAAGTTTCAAACTGTGTTTTCAACGTTTTTTTCTATTTGTCTTCATTAGCAAGCTTCTTTGAGAGAGTTAACCATGTTTCATCTCTGTGTCTAGAGGCACAAGGCCTGGAAAACAGCAGAAACTCTTTCTGACCCAGGATGTTCTTCCAAAGACATTCCAGAGGCGAATCTTAGAACACTGTTTATTTGATAGTGTACTGGAATGTCGTGAAACACGGGAACAATGCAAACACGGCTACCTTCGAGAAGAGAGCCAGAGAAAACACGCAAAGCTGCTCAGCCCGGATGACCTTCCCACTAATACCTCCCCTTATCCTCCTTCCCAGCCACCTTGCCTAACGCCCATGCGTGACCTCCAACCTCCCTCTTTCTCGCCACAGCATTCTTAGAAATCCCAGCCTGTGAGAAAGGCACGCTTTCGTCCCTTTCTTTCCTTTTAGAGTGGCCTCACTTTCCTTAGCTGGAAAGTGGGACCACGCTACATTCATCTGGTTCACAGGTTTTAAGGTAAGCAGGTGAGAAAGAGACAGGAAAGCGGTCTGTCTTAACTATCTACAAGGACCAGGCGCGTTACCTAAATCGGGTCATTTTGAAGACAATGACAGAGTCCCTAGCTGCAACAGGCTGCAACAGTTTGAACACGACCAGCCTGGGGTCCGAGCCCACCTGAACTGGAAGACGGGCGCAAGTGAGAGGAGGCACCTGTCAGTACCTGGCCTTCAGGTCAAGGCAGAAGCGAGAGGACAGCGGTTCTGAAGTAACGCCACTCGCTCGGGCTCACCTTGGTCTCCACGGTGGGCCCTTCCCTGTAGCCGACCCTCTCCTTGAAGCGCGAGAGGAACGCGGGCTCCGCGGGCCGCACGTAGGACACCAGGTTCCGCTTGCTCATGGCAACTCAGAGTAAAAACAAGCTCCGAGGATGAGCTCCCTTCCGCCTGGAGGCGCCGGCGCCTAATCATGACGTCACACTGACCACGCCCCAAATGCGGAGGCCGGGCAAGGGGGCGGCACCCGTGCTGGCGTCGGCGTCCGACCGGAGCGCCAAATTTAAATTGGCGGCCATCTTGCGGGAGCCGAATCCCCGCGCGCGGCGCGACTGGGAGGCGAGGGTGTTTGCTGTGTGGGTCTCGCGTGCGGGGCTGAGGGCGCTATGGCGTCAGGCTGCAAAGGTAAGTCGGGAGCCACGGCTTCGTGACCCCGTCGCCGTCCCCGAGTGCAGGCGTCAAAGGACGGCTCCCCGTCGGGTTCTCCACTAGGGTGCCTGGCAGGAGCTGTCCGAGCAGCGCGGAGGCTCGGAACGTCTCCGTCCCCCCACAGACAAGATGCGGGGACAGCTCCCATCCCTCTTTCTGGGCTTTGGGCGCTTGCTCCGAGCCTGGGTCAGTTCGGATGCTGGGGGTGAGCCATGAGCCGGGTCGAGATCCCCGATCCTAGAGTTTGGTCTTGAGTGATTTCCCCGGTCCCCGTGGACGGCCTCTTCCCACCTCGGTGTCGCTCTGGGTATCCTGGCCCGAGGGTCGCCCGCGCGCTGACCACCTCCTTCATGCTTCCACGTTTCTGACTTTGTAGACAAGGGAAAGATTTATGTCCGGAAGAACACTTCCTGTTTTGGAGAGCATGTCCTCAGATAAGGCAGTTTTAAAGCCCGTTGCAGCGCTGTCTTTACAGCACACCGCCCCAGTGAATGCCTCAAAGGCGAAGAGTACTTAGTACAGAACCCTATGTATACTGTTTTTTCCCCTGTGCACACGTACCTACGATAACGTTTAATTTATAAATTAGGCATGGTAAGACATTAACAATAACTAATTAAAAAGTAGAACAATTTTTACAATATACTGTAGTCATAGTTAGGTGAATGTGCCTTTCTCAAAATATCTTTTTGTACTCATCCTTCCTTTTGTAATGTGAAGTGATAGATACACTGTCTACCCATTGAGATGAAGTGAGATAACAAGGATGACTTGAACTCAAGCACTGTGATACTAATGCTGTTGAGTGACTCTTGGAAGGGTAGCATATAGAGTGTGGATACATGCTGGGCTGGAGGGAGCAGGATGGCATGAGATTTCATCATGCTACTCAGAACAGCACTCAGTTTAAAAATTTAGGAGTCGGGCATGGTGACTTACGTCTGTAATCCTAGATACTTGGGAAGCGGAGATGGGATGGTGCCCCTGTCATCCCTTGCTATGTGGGGAAGCACAAATAGGATTGTGGTCCAGACTAGCCCAAAGCATAAAGCCAGACCCTATCTCAAAAATAACCAAAGCAAAAGGGTTGGTGGTGTGGCTCAAATTGGTACAATGCTTGCCTAGGAAGTGCGAGGCCCCAAGTTCAAATCCCAGTACTGCCAAAACAAAACAAAACACCAACAACTAACAAAAACCTTATGAATTATTTACTTCTGGATTTTCCATTTAATACTGTTTATACCTGATAAACCATGGGAAGAGAAATGGCAGATAAGGGACTGCTTGCTGTACACTCACAATCCATTTTCACCTCAAGGAGACCCATCTAGTTATCTCCCCACCACACACCTTTCTCTTTCCCCCAAGGAGAGCCTTGTCGTTTTTTGTTTTTCATAAACTCTTTAGTTTTCTCTAATTCCTTAATCATTTGCTATTCCCGTGTGTATACCACTTTTTACGTTGCCTAAACCACTAAGGAGTGTTGGAGTTGGGTTTGTTTTTTGTTTGTTTGTTTGTTTGTGTTTTGTTTTTTTTTTCCAGTACTGGGGTTAAACTCAGGGCCTATACCTTGAGCCACTCCACCAACCCTTTTTTGTGATGGGCTTTTTTGAGATAGGATCTGGTGAACTATTTTCCTGGGCTGGTTTCAAACCACAAGCTTTCTGATCTCTGCTGCCTGAGTAGCTGCGATTACAAGAATGAGTCACTGGCTGAGTATTGTTTTTTAAGGCTGACAATGAGCTGATTCAATGGGATTTCAGGGAATGAAATGAGGAGAGGACTGTGTTAGATGCTTGAGGAAACTGAACTTTTGACATTTGAAATTTCCAACAATGTTAATGATTCTGTCATTCTGTCAATTGTAATTTTTTTTTCCTTGTGGTAGCAGAGTTTGAACTTAGGGCCTCCAGCTTACTAGGCAGGCTTGCTACCATTTGAACCACACACCCTGCCCTTTTTTGCTTTAGTTAATTTTTTGGATAGGATCTCACATTTTTTACCCCAGGGTCTGGACAGCGATCTACCTCTGCTTTCCTTGTAGCTGGAGTAGTAAGTGGCACCACCACTCCCATCTTATTTTGTTGAGATAGGGTCTAGCTGACTTTTTGCCTAGGCTGGCCTCTCACCGTGATCCTCCTGAGTAGCTGGGATTACAGGAATGAGCCATTGCACTCAGCCTGTAATTGTTTTTTGATAAGTTGTTTATTAACCTTTTAGGTCAGTCACACTATTATCTGAACACCTCATTAGATTCTTTCTCCATCTAAAATAGTCCTTTTCTTTTCCTCCAGTATTTCCAGTATTCAGGGGTATGAGCACACAAATTGGTACAATATTGGACAGAAATGTCCATCCTGCTTTCTGCCCAACTATAGTATTTGTTTTTGTTTCCACCTTAAACCAAGTTCAATAAATCTGGACTCAAGTCTTTGACATAATTAGAGCATCTGCCTATAGCTGCTTATTTAATGGGAAGTGATATTCCTATGTGACTATCTATGATAGGGCTCTGTTCTGCTTAGTAACTGAACTTGAGAACATTTCTAAAAGTGATGGGAGTAAGAGTATTCAGAGATCCCCTTTACGATGGTGGGGACACTGAAGGGAACTTTCTCACTCCTTTAACTTTGGTTGGCACTCCAGGTAAAGTGCTACTTTCATTCCCAGCAGTACAGAGGCCTCAAGCATGAAGTGGGAACACATGTGACTTTCACTCGTGTACCCAGGAAGGCTGTCTCTAGTGACAGCCTGTCTCTGTTGGCATCATGGGTTACTGACTGAAATTGGAAAAATGAGAAAGTGAAATATAACTCTTAAGAAATTGATTAAGTTTAAGCTTCCCTTTCTGAACTTAATCATGCTTAGTCAAATGATAGGTGTGTATTAATCAAGGCTGCAGAGTAGATTAACTTGATGGTATTTTTAAAGCAGGAAGACTTAAAATTTACTACTTTCATAAGGTACAGCTCTGTGTAGTAAAGAAGAAAGTAAGAGTACTGTTCAACAAATTTTTATAAGAATTCTCTCATGTAATCCCCACACAGATCAAGAACTAGAGCTGTTCCTATACCCTGGAAAGTTCCCTGTGACATTTCCTAGTCAGTAACTACACCAGGCACAACCATTACTGTGATGTTTTTTATTAATTTTGCCTATTCTGGAACCTCATGTAAATGGTACTACATAGTCTTTTTTGTTGTCTCTGTTGTCGTCTTTTACTGGACATTTTGTTGTAGGTAGCAACTGATAATACTTTTTCATTGCTATGTGTATTCTGTTATGCAAGTGTGTCACAGTTTGTTTATTCTCCTGTCAGTGGACACTAGAGAGTCTAGATTTGGCTATTATGAATAAAACTGCTGTGAATAGTTTTCAACATATTTTAGGCAGATACATAGAGAACCTCAAAGTTGAAAGAATTTTTTTTTTTTTTGGTGGTGCTGGGGATCAAACCCAGAGCCTCATGCATATCATGCAAGTGCAGTACCACTGAGCTACACCCCCAGTCCATTGAAAAGAATTTTACAGTGAATGTCTACAAAGGACTTCCTTTTAGTATCAAAATCTTTTTTTCTTTCTTTTTTTTTTTTTTTTTTGTGGCACTGGGGTTTGAACTCAGGGCTTCACATTTGCAAAGCAGGTGCTCTACCACTTGAGTCACACCTGTAGACTTCAATGCCAAAATTTTATGACTGCCATAATGATAAACTTCTATATTCCTTTTAACCTTTGATCAAGAGGCAGCATCATGAGGTGATTAAGGGTAGAAGTTATGACTCTAGAATGCTGGTGTTCAAATCCTATCACCGTGTGTGTGTATGTGCGTGTGTGTGTGCGTGGGTGGGTGTTACTAGGAATTAAACCCAGGGCCTTGCACATGCTAGGCAAGTGCTTTGCCACTTGAGCCATACCCCAGTCCAAATCTTAGTACTTCTCAGTGACATGTCCTCAGGTCTCAATTAGGAATCATGGCAGAGCTGCCCTTTATAAAAAGTAAACATTTTGGTTTTTTGTAAATAAGGAATCTTAATTTACAAAAAAGTATCCATGTGCATATTGGTATCTGATTCCTTATGGAGATCTCTGTAGAGATCAAGAACTCATGCTCTCCATTAGTCTGTCTTCTCCAGTTTTATGCTATGGATTCTGGCTGCCTTGACTTAACTCTGAACTATTTCCCCTCAACTCAGCCACATCACCAAGCTCTAACTGGACTTTTCTGCCCACCCTATGGCTAGAAACTGCAGGTGATAAGCTGCTGGTGACAGTGATCCCAGGGCTCACTGCCTTTGTTTCCCTTCTCTCAGGATCCCTGTACTGTGCTTCTGTTGTCCAGTGTCTGAGAACTTGTTGCATATATTTGGTTTGGTTTCCTAGTTACTAAAGGCAGGTGAGTAAATCCAGTCCTTGTTACTCCATCTGGCTGAAAGTTTGTATGGCTACACTCTAGGTGTAAGGATAAACCAAACACACCCAGAGTTCAGCTTTCCTAAAATGAAAAGCTGTCCTATGGTATCCTAGACCTTCTCACTTGATTTTATTTTTGTTCAAGGTACAGAAAGACTGTTTCTTTATTTTCAACTCTTGGCAGGGGGGATTGTGTAGAGCAGGTGTTGGGGCAGTCTAGTCTATTTCCTGGTTCTCAAACATTGATTTGTTTGAGGGTACAGTTTTTTGGTTTTTTTTTTTTTTTTTACTATGAGCAGAATAGAAAGTAAGTCCTTACA